AGGGCATAATAAAATATACTAAGAACTTGGCTTAAAAGCAAAACAGCTTTGGTGAACTATACAGTGTAAGGGGAGGGATACTTCAGATTCTAGATAGCATTCGATTGGATATGATAATTGATAAATACATTAAAAAAGTTAAAAATTATGTAATCAAAATCAATAATTCATACTGGTGGCTATGAGAGATGATGGATATAGGCATGAATATACCTTTAACGTATGTTTTGTCATTGCTTCAGAGCCTGTTGGCTAATAAATTACATCAAAGTGATTGAAAATTGAATGACTGATGATAACCATTGACTTCCATAGTAAGAAAAATATGGAAGCTAATAAGTACCATTGACCATAACTCATCAAAATATTATTCTGTGTTTAACAAAATAAAGAAAGACAACTAGGTACTTAACAAGTAGAAGATATGATAGGAGTAAATGATGACAGATATTTCACTGTTGGATGAACTGCCCCTTTAAATCTTAGATATTAGAATCAAACTATCACACATTATAATAATTTCTAGTATTTATATCAGGTGTATTAAAAAAAAAACATTTTTATGAATTCTGTACTAGCCCTGCTAAAAAAACAGCTTAATCCAGATCAACCAGCCTGGTTTTAGAGGGGTTTTGGCCATTTATATGCTGGTTTCCAATCAGTCTAATCCTTGTCCTAAATGATCAGGCTGTAAAATTACCAGCTAAAACCAGCTTGACCAAACTGGCTAGGCCAAGACCTGGAAATGTCTGAAACCAGCCTAGAAATGGCCAAAACCGATCTAAAACCAGGCTGTTCAACCAGCTAAAACCAGCCAAAGCTGGTTTAAGCTGTGTTTTAGCAGGGAATGCACTTAAAACAACTAAAGACATAATAACACAATTGTCAACAATAGTCTTAATGTTAAAACAGCTTGCCATCACACCATCACGATACACATCAGATATGCACAAACCTAAAACCTACATCCGTGTTCATTTATTCGGCATCATATTTGTCGAAAGGGCAATAATTACACAGATATAATTACAATCCAATTAGAAAGAAAAAATATATATAGAAAGCAGGGAACGTGCCATCTAATTTATCAATTCACCTGACTGCATAAACTGATGTACAATATCAGACATCTTACAAATTAAACAGTAAACGTCTGCAGTTAGGAATAACTACGAGGATGTTAATGAAATGCAGTCGTAAATCCAGAGCACGTCATTCAATCGTTGCGGAGTTACACATCATTTGATCGCTAAGGTGGGCTTCTGTTTGTAAGGGCCCTTCATAGTCAGCACTGTACACTCACTTAATCTCGGCTGAGAAATGTAGTCACGAGTCACGGCAAGGACATTTTCCCGAACGGCGACCTGTTTAGTCCCAGTAAGAGAAGATGATATTTCGCTCACGGCTCCGCTCACCATTCCCCTAAGAGCCTTCATGATGACTACTCTACACAAAAATCACTACTGCAAGCTAAAGTGTGAAAGCACAAATGCACATGCGCACTAGGAGCTACGTGTTTTTCTCGGCAGGCACTTTTTTCCAGGGGTTTCAGTACAGCGTAACCGCTACTACGTCATCGGGTGGGCGTGGCCTATCTGTGAATTTGCATAGGTCACGGATCATGCGCAGATTGTGAAAACAGCAATGTCTTTTATATGCAGTACAAAATAGCTGTCCTGATCGCTGGTGTTTAATGTGAAGTCAGTGTATGTTATATTAAACAAATTTACTTAAGATATCTCTCAGATTACATTAATACTGTTATAACTTAAGATACCTGTCCCGATCCCACGGCTTTTGTGTCAAATACTTTATATATCATATACAGTAGCATCAGATACCTGTCCTGATGCCAGGGGTTTTATGTATAATTACTTTTATATTAGTTAACATCAGATACCTGTCCTGATCCCAGGGGTTTCATGTATGATCACTTTTATATACATTAACATCAGATACCTGTCCTGATCCCAGGTGTGTCATGTATGATCACTTTTATATTATATACAGTAACATCAGATACCTGTCCTGATCCCAGGGGTTTCATGTATGATCACTTTTATATTATATACATTAACATCAGATACCTGTCCTGATCCCAGGTGTTTCATGTATGATCACTTTTATATACAGTAACATCAGATACCTGTCCTGATCTCAGGGGTTTCATGTATGATCACTTTTATATACATTAACATCAGATACCTGTCCTGATCTCAGGTGTTTCATGTATGATCACTTTTATATACAGTAACATCAGATACCTGTCCTGATCTCAGGGGTTTCATGTATGATCACTTTTATATTATATACATTAACATCAGATACCTGTCCTGATCACAGGGGTTTCATGTATGATCACTTTTATATTATATACATTAACATCAGATACCTGTCCTGATCTCAGGGGTTTCATGTTTGATCACTTTTATATTATATACATTAACATCAGATACCTGTCCTGATCTCAGGGGTTTCATGTTTGATCACTTTTATATTATATACATTAACATCAGATACCTGTCCTGATCCCAGGTGTTTCATGTATGATCACTTTTATATACAGTAACATCAGATACCTGTCCTGATCTCAGGGGTTTCATGTATGATCACTTTTATTTACATTAACACCAGAAACCTGTCCTGATCTCAGGGGTTTCATGTATGATCACTTTTATTTACATTAACACCAGAAACCTGTCCTGATCTCAGGGGTTTCATGTTTGATCACTTTTATATTATATACAGTAACATCAGATACCTGTCCTGATCTCAGGGGTTTCATGTATGATCACTTTTATATTATATACATTAACATCAGATACCTGTCCTGATCTCAGGGGTTTCATGTTTGATCACTTTTATATTATATACATTAACATCAGATACCTGTCCTGACCTCAGGTGTTTCATGTATGATCACTTTTATTTACATTAACACCAGAAACCTGTCCTGATCTCAGGGGTTTCATGTATGATCACTTTTATATTATATACATTAACATCAGATACCTGTCCTGATCTCAGGTGTTTCATGTATGATCACTTTTATTTACATTAACACCAGAAACCTGTCCTGATCTCAGGGGTTTCATGTTTGATCACTTTTATATTATATACATTAACATCAGATACCTGTCCTGATCTCAGGTGTTTCATGTATGATCACTTTTATATTATATACATTAACATCAGATACCTGTCCTGATCTCAGGGGTTTCATGTTTGATCACTTTTATATTATATACATTAACATCAGATACCTGTCCTGATCACAGGGGTTTCATGTATGATCACTTTTATATTATATACATTAACATCAGATACCTGTCCTGATCTCAGGGGTTTCATGTTTGATCACTTTTATATTATATACATTAACATCAGATACCTGTCCTGATCTCAGGTGTTTCATGTATGATCACTTTTATATTATATACATTAACATCAGATACCTGTCCTGATCTCAGGGGTTTCATGTATGATCACTTTTATATTATATACATTAACATCAGATACCTGTCCTGACCTCAGGTGTTTCATGTATGATCACTTTTATTTACATTAACACCAGAAACCTGTCCTGATCTCAGGTGTTTCATGTATGATTACTTTTATATACATTAACATCAGATACCTGTCCTGATCACAGGTGTTTCATGTATGATCACTTTTATATACATTAACATCAGATACCTGTCCTGATCTCAGGTGTTTCATGTATGATCACTTTTATATTAGTTAACATCAGATACCTGTCCTGATCCCAGTTGTTTTGTGTATGATGACTTTAAATAAAAATAGAAAATAAATATGAGTTATGTTAATTAACTAAGATCGAGAAAGAAAAATTAACCACGATTTATTACAGAAAATGTGGTATTTATTTGTTTAAACATGACTGAATACCATATTTTAAACTACAAAAACACGGTTAATCTTCCAACAACCATTATTATTTGGTTTAAAATGGAAGTACAAAAGCCCAGAGACAGAAAAACGGAGTAAAACGAGGTCAGACGGTTTTGCTAATGAAATCTTTAAAATATAAGATTATAAAAACAAAAAAATAACCTGTATGATTGTTTTTTTCCCTCGTTATCCACCGCGGTAGGTTCTTTATCCATAATCATCCTGTTTGAAATGACCGCGCTAAAAAAGAACCTGTACTGCGCATGATCGGTGACCTCTCAGTATTGTTTTTTTTTTTAAGGGGGCGTTTCCCAAACACCGACCGAGCCACGCCCATTTTACGTCGTGGTAATGAAACCCCTGGAATTTAGTGCATGCCTGTTTCTGTTTTTCTCCCCCTCCGCTCTGCAAAATCGACGCAGTGGACACGGACGCCCTCTAAAGTAAAGTAGTGAATGCTGTATTTATGTGTGTTTCTAGATATAATGTAATCAATCATTAGAATAACAATGTAAAATATTTATTTCAGATTTTGCAAGTATTAATGTTTACCTTTTAGATCATATTTGTGCATTAGGTCCATGTAAAAAATATTACAAACAAAATGTAAACTTTAATTATGATACAGACAAGTTACTAAAATATTTTAAATGTAGTAGAGGTTTACATAAAAGATAGCCTTATTTAATCATCAATAATCATTTAATGTCATATTAAAGGTGCACACCCTATGTAGGTTTCTAATTGTTGTTTTTAATCTGTATACTTTTCCACTCATTCAGAATAAGCCTGTTGACTCAATTTTACATAAATTTCATTTACAATTCATGACAGTTTAACATTATTTCACTTTTAATTTTATATTTAAGTTTAACAAAATCATCAGCTATTTGCGTGATTTATTTTGCTTTCTTTAAATATAAATTAGCCTGTTTTAATTTATTCTATTTGATGCTACAAAATGTGATGTCTTGTGTTTGCCCCTACTACTGTATTTGAGAAGGCAGTAAAGACATATTGTCAGCAACATATTAAAAATGTTACCCAAATCTTTATGTTAAAAAAAATGTTACTATTTATGTCACCCACACGTTTTCTTCATTTTTTATTACAATTCATAAAAATTCAACCTATCAGTATAACATCAGCAAATATTAGTTCCAGAAATGCTGAAGAAAACAACTAATTATTTCATAGTCACACACAAATCCATCCAAACTTTGTTCTTGTACAAAAAACCCTAATATCAGCAAATAAGCAAAAAAAAAAGAAGAAAAAAAGCATAGCAGACATTGTTTAAAAACAACAAAACACAAAGTTCATTTTCAGTCATCACATAAACCTTTAAATCTCATGGGAAATAATATAAATGAAGTTACATCATGTTTAAAAAAACGTCAACAATTAAGGCTCTCCTCACAAACAAATATTACCATTAGGCCTTTTTAAAAAGCTACTAATATTGCCTGATATGATCAGTATCTGGTTTTGCGTAATTTAATTCATAATGTATGCTTCACTCATATGAATCCTTATCACATTAGAAAATAATTACATTTACAAACACATTTTGATTTCATACATTATATTGCAACATGACTGAATGCAAAGCATTTTATAGTCAAAAAGTTAATTACATTAAAATCCATTTAAGAGACTGTTTAAGTGTTTCTTCAATAGAAGATTAAAAATTATTCGTAGCCAAAACTGTGGACAAGGCAATGGCTAACGCACTTTCAGAGTTTAAAAAAACATACACAGACAAAACTTAATTGAAATAAATGGCTCCCGACAATTCATTAAGAAAAAAAAGTCACATGCTGTAACTCTTAGATAACTGAGGGTCATTAATAGCAACATTTCATTATATTTTGTACTATAGTATTTCTTTTCAGTTCCATTTTTGTACATTTATAGGAGCTATGTGAATGAAATGTATTATTAAATGTATTTGTGTCAGTGCACAATCAAAAAACATTTCAATGAAAATGTATTAACATTCTGTTGAAAAGACTAATATAAATTATGCATAATATATAATGGCTATACATTGCAGGGTTGCAGCCATTCAGATGTTTTCTTTTGTTTTTTTACATCAGCTTGGGTTTTGTAGTTACTGCAGTTTTGACACTCTTGTTTTTTTCTGAATCAGGATAAAATTGAACCAGGAGAGTTCAACAGATGTCACTAATCCATTTTAGGCTTTAACTCAATTTTGACCAAAAGTCTAGTTACTACACTTTAGCTATGATTATGAATGTTGATTAATATAATACATGTTAAACACAGTTTGTACCGTGTGAAACGGAATGTCATATTCTGGCTATACAGACAAAACATACCAGTCAATGATGCTAGTCCAGCACAAGTTATGCAAGAACCAATAATCATTTAACTCAAGCAAGTTATAGTCAATAAATGAATGTCTTACATTGTATCTGCTTGTTAATGTTCATAAGATAAGAGAATTTCTGCTCAAAACTCTGCGCGCACACACACACACGCACACACACACAAATCTGATGCAATGTGCATTGATCTAAATGTAATACAGCAAATATTTCACTTTGCTTGTGACAAACATACAGATTTGCAGTGTTGTTTTACCTCCTTTTCTAGATTTTTTGGGGCAGTTTTGTTCATTTTTGCTAACATTTTTACTACAGTCACTTGATATATTTTCCTCTCTGCTGCACATCGATACCACTGTGACTTACAGTCTCTCACACAGCATAACCAAATCTGCTGTCATATTTTGCCGTGCTGTAGCTGGTGTTGCTGGAGGTTGGATGTTCATTTTGTGTTTGTCCCACCTGACTGTAGGCCACACCTGAGCGGAAGCTGGAGACTCGGCTGTTTGGGCGACTCTCAGGTGCAGGAGCGTCCTCTCTTTAGGGACAGAAGAAACAGAAAAGCTGTTTCAGAGCCAAATGCCTTCTTACCATTCAGAAAATATGTCCATATAGAAAAGTATGTATATATATATATATATATATATATATATATATATATATATATATATATTTTTTTTTTTTTTTTGTGTGTGACAAAAATAATTTCAATGCTTTGCTAAATAATTGACTCATTATACTATGTATTTAATTATTTTTTAAAAAAAAGAAGAATTTGAATATTTATTTTGTCTAAAATAAAAAAATATGCTAAATATTTGACTAAATATATATTCATTTTGCTCAACTTTTATTTATTATTTAAAAAATTTTAAATAATAGAGACTGTGTCTATTCCTCGTATTATCAATAAGTAAATTTACTATGTATTCTAGAAATAAAATCCAATAAGAATCAACCAGAAAAACTGCAAAAAAGTTAAAATAGATATTTTTTTAAAGCTTGATCTCCTAAACATCTGAGACCTACAACACAAACACTGTACACTGAGGATATTTATAACAAGTTTCAAATATAGATGTATTGAATAAAAAAATGTAATGTCAAAAACTCCACAATACTTTCAGACTTCCTCATCTGATGAGGAGAGACCAGCTTGTCTGAGCATAGCCTTTAGGAGGCGTATCTCAAGTCTGGCCTTGGTTTGCTGCAGTTTGGCCAGAGTCAGTTGTTCCTTTGCCAGATGAGCTGTGCTTCTGCCCTTTCAGTCTCTTTTTGCAATTGTTGAAAGAGTCATTGTCATTCTTTGCATTTTTGTGGTTATTCTGTAATCATTGCATGCATCACTAATACATATTATAAAAAATATATATTTTTTCCATTGTGATGAATATATATATATATATATATATATATATATATATATATATATATATATATATATATATATATATATATATATATATATATATATATATATATATATATATATATATATATATATATATATATATATATATATATATATATAT